TTAAAAACTGATGGAGAAAGTTACTGCACTACTTACTGGATACCCGTGGCCTATTTGAGAAACAGCACTAGCAAAAATAACCTCTCCTCTCATCTCAGCTGGGGAGGGAGGGACACTCACAAATTAAAAGGGGACTGAGGTGGGGAACAAGAATTGCATATTAAGAATGGTGAAAGAGGCAAAAATAACAAACATGTGCAATAGCACATGAGATTCTTTCCAAGAAATCTCAGTACAACATTTCTCTGGGCATGGGCTCATGGCTCTGTTACTGCCCTTGAGCAGTGGAATGTCAGAGAAGAGGAAGGATTGCTGGGTGCTTGAAAACAGACTGAACACATGGATGGGGAGAAAGCCAGAAGTGTTACAAGAAATTATCCCTACACTTTCAACATACTTGCACTTGCATATTCCCCTGGACCCCAAAGCTTCCTAGACATTAGAAATCAGCCAGAGCAGAGTGAACTGAAACTGAACCAGCAATGCAAAGGAAGGACTGATCCTAAGGACCTAACCCCTTAAAATCTGTGTCTAGTAGTGCTCAACTAATGGCAGAGGGCTAAAGGGAAGTAAAAGAAGTTTTAAAGTTTAGGTGAACTAAGTGAAAGGCTGAAAGCAACTTTATTCACATTTTAAGAAATCAAGTGTAATACATATTGACTTTCAGTCAAAAGCTATAGCGAAAATCTCTGAGATAAACAGTAAACATCAAAAAAATTTCCTTTCAAATATGGATTGATAAAGCTGACATGCAATAAAAGCTTCCAATGAAACTCACAGGCACTGTTCCCCCACATTCTGATAGGAGGCTGCCCTGTAAACATGCTGAACTCAATGAGCATAGGAGAAAACTTTTTTTATAAAATTACATCTTACTCTAAAGAAAATATTTGTATGGCTATAGCCAGGAGTGTAATAAGGGTCATTGGAAGATCACAGGCACAGAAAACTGAAGAGCCTGCCAGCTTTAGAGTTTTGTGACTTTTACTTTTTTTCCTCAAGATCTAACTTTTCCCCCCAAACAAAACATTTCAAGCCTTTTCCATCCTAAGGACAATACTCAATATGTAAATCTCATGCTGTCACCCCATTCTGACCCCTAAAGAAAAATCAAAACTGTTTCCAGCCAAGCAATACAGCAGGCAGAACTATGAGCTACTGCCCAGTTGTATTAAGAAGCCATCATCACTCTTAACTCATGTTGGACTGTACTCACCAAGCCCTAAGAGAAAGGAAACCTCACCTCCAAGCTATAAGTGGGTAACTAATGCTGTAGATCTGTCCTCAGCAAGCTCTGATTAAACTGGAGAAACTTCTCTGTTTAGACAAAACTTATCGCTGCTTTGGCAATTTCATGTTTTGTTTACAGTGGCTACCTTGCCTTTTCTTCTGGCAAAGAAACAAAGATTTAGCAAAATGTCGAAAAAAAAATCCAAGAGTAAAAATGCATTGACTTCCCATCAAGTGTTAGAAGTTCCTAATGGCTTCCCTTTCACAATTAAAAAAATACTGTACTTCCAGTGATCATCAAGTATTTGTTCAAAAATTGCTTTAAAAACCACGTTTGGAGCCCCCACTGTGCTGGCTAATGTCCATTGTGTTTCTAAGGGCCTTCAGAAAGTATTCCCTCCTCCATGTTCTGCACTGTAAATGAGCACTTAGGCAAAGAGGAAGGAATAGTGTGTAAAAGCCAACCCTGCTTTTAAACAGCTCTCTATCTTTTCCTACTATGTTCTGCACACTTCTTCCCCTTGGACACTTTGAATTTCACATCTGATTTCATGTTTTTATATTTTACATTTTTTCACAGGAAGGACTCTCCCTCTGGAACTTCACATGAGGGGATTAGTGATTTTCTGACCCTTTGTCCACTGAATTTTATTCAGTCTCTTCTCCACAGAGAAATCAATGTATAATCAGCAATGCCTCAGCATGTTAAAGGACAATAAAAACAAAGAATCCTGACACCAAACCACTACAAGTTTAGCAAAAAGTGCCACCAGCCACCTCTGTCTTTAAACCTCATTGCTGGCTGTGGTGGTGCAGCCCAATCCCTGGGGTGGTCTCTCACCTCACCTCACTGTGCACTGAGCCATTTCAGATCACCAAGCTGACACAAAACTGTATTTTTCCTTAGGTTAGCTTTCTGCTGGTGCAGGATCAAAGACCAGAGCCAATGGAATGACACGTGGAGAAGCAGGTGGGGACAGGACTGCACACCTCAGTAAGGGGAACTTGGCAGAGAGCACCAGGCTGCACACACCAGGGCTTCACCTTGCACTGTGTCCATCCAGAAGGAGCACTTTGTGGAGAAGAGTAGGACACACTCAATATTATAGAAGAAAAGACAGATGTGGGTCTCAAAGTATTAAATCATCCTGCTCTGTGCTGTTACAGGCAAGCTTGTCCCAAGCATGGTTAACCAGGAGAAGACAGAACTGAAACCTTGCTGTCAGACCCAGGAAACTTTCAGACATGACTCCAAGTCCAGGGTTGAAGCTCAGCTCTTCCCTTTGTCCAGGCTCACAAAAGGAAATAAAAGTAAAATCCTTGACACTACACAGCACACTTGAACAGGAAAAAGGTAATGGCCACCCAGCACCACTGCCATTCAGAAGGCAAGTGTGTGGCTCACCCCTGGTAACACCAAAGATTTTTATAATTTGTGCTATGCACTTCAATCTAACAGTATGTTGTTTACATGATTTTAATATGAACAGGAACACAACAGAAAACGCTTCTAAGATAGGATCTTAGTGATTATGGGAGTGTTCTTCAAAACACAGTGAGAATGGAATAAGACAAGTGGTATTTACCATAGCTTCCTCACCACTTCTGGATCACACAAAGAGAGCCAGATCCACCCTAATTATCTTCTTACTTAACAAAATACCTATACTGACAAAATAAACTTCTATGAGGCATATTCTGCAAATGACCTTACTCCCTACTAAGTTAGATCAGAAGTATATCCTTGCAGAAGTGACAGACATGAGAGACAACAGCAGCAGCATATCTTGTCTGTCTTTGCTAGAAAGAAAATTACACCTGAAAACCAAGTACCTGGAAACCACCTAATGTTCTGTTGAGTATGCAAGGGTTGTGTCAAAGTGGAACTCACTACTGCAGAGTCAGCTACCTACAACATCTTTAAAACAAATCTCTGAAATTGCTGCCATATCTATTGTTCTCTACAAAACGTCCTCATTACAGGAAATCCACTACTAGGATACATCTGAAGATGTAATTATTAGTGTGATATTTGTTTCTCTTCTAATGAATCTCACCAAGCATAAAACCTGAGACTGTCCTACTGCTCATTAAAAACATGTTATTCTGGAGACAAAAACTGGTGAATAGAGCTAGAGATAAAAACTGCACAATTGGAAATGTTATTTAGCTGGAAGTAAACATTTAAAGTTCTTCAGTTTAGCTTACACCAGAATTTAACAGCAGGACATAGATAACTTTTTCAAATAGTCTAACTTGAGGCCTAAGCCACCTTATCTGTACATAATTTTAATGCCAACATCTGGTCCTGTACAGGCAACACTTAATTCAGTCTACTTAAAAAGAAAAATAATACCCAACTATGCAAAGAGTTTTACTTCAGGCAGCTGTATTTTAGCAGGATTGAACTTAAAATTAGGCTGTCCTATCAAAACCACCTTCTCTTCATTGAGATATTGCTAACAGAGGAGAAAAACCTTCTGTCAAGTTCAAAAGACAAACTGAGGTTCAAGTTTATCAATGTATTTCAGCCCATGGATAAAAGGAAGAGGAGTCCTAAAAATGGCAAACATACCAGTCAGAACTAGGCCAATGTTGTGGAGAATCTAATACGAAGGCTCAAGCCAATCGTTGATTAGGTTTGTCCTTGGACATAAGCAGCAGAAACTATGGCACACTATGAGGAGGCAAGGCACAAAGGCAAGGAAAATATAGGCTCAAGAAAAGCATACCAAAAACTGTATTTATTGCAACACAAGTTGTTATTCTGTAATCCTCAAATATGAAAACAAACCTTCCCTAGTGTCAAAATGTATCAGTTTTCCACGGTTTTCACTATTATGTGCTATCTGCTAAAGCTGTTTTTCAGACACTGAGGATCCGAAGTACATTGCTCAATTTTTATATATATATATATATATGCATATATTTGAGGTGGTATTTTTGAAAGGTTTCATCTGAAGCACTCCAAGCTGATAACCTTTATCCAAATACATAAAACAAGAGCCATGTCAAACACACTATAAATAGCATTAATAGTAAGGAATCAATAACATCCAAACCTTTAGGTAACATCTTATTAATCCGCCCTTGGCATGCATGGGCACACTGCTGTAACGGCTCTCAAAATGCAATAGTCAAAGGTGAAGGACACAATTTGTTCAACTAGTTAATGCAACTGCTATTTAACCAACAGAGCCACTAAAATGCCACCTAATGAAATACTCCATACCATGATAAGCAGCAGAGACAAGCACGATAAACATGAAACGTTTTTCTAAGAAAATATATTAGAAGTCCTCAGGGCTGTTACCGATCTGTCATATTTTTTTTTTTTTTTCCGAAGGCATGTAAAGATCTACATTTGACAACAACCATTTTAATCTCTGGTTCTCTCTCCCCCCCCCCCACCTCATTTCTTGTACCGCGCCCAACACAATGGTACAACTGCATCTCCCAGGTATCGCCTTGGTATTTATTTCTGCTTTCACAGTGACAAAGGTCAACTCTAATGCTCCAAAGATGCTTGCAGCAAAGCTGGGTGAGAGATATTTCTAACGACATACCCACACGCGGGTTACAGAAATCCAGCCTCCATGAGATGTTTTAATCTGACAAATTAAAATGGTTGGGAAACGCTATTTGGGTAACGGAATCGGCCGCCACATGCATTGCTGAGGGGGGAGCAATAAAAGGTCTTTAAAATAGGTCACTTTCAGCCAAATCCCACACCAGCACCGAACAAAATGGTATATACACTGAAAACTCACCGCTTGGGGAGGAGCGAGGGGCATGGAGGAAAAAAAAAAAAAAAAAAAGAAAATAAAAAGGGGCCGCCCCGGCATAAAAGGGCATAAATCCGCGCGGGTCTCCGAGGGACCACAAACCCCCTCTGGGGGTCGGGGCTCGGCGAGCGGAGCCCCCGGGGGAGCCGCAGACAAAAAGGGCCGCGGCGCTGGGCACGCCTGGCCGCGGGGCCGGCCCCGGCCCCAGCCCTGGGCCTCCGGCGGCCCCTGACAGCGGGGAACACCCCTCCGCCCGCGGCCGCCCCTCCGCGGGAAGCGCCATTTCGCCGCCCGCTCCCCCGCCGGTGCTCGGCGGCGGCGGCCCCGACCCTGCGGCACTGCCGCAGAGCGCGGCGGGGGAGGCGCCGGCCCCACCGGGCCGCCCCCCCACCCACCTCCTCCCGCACCCTCCCGGGGCCGCCCCGGCCGAGCCCCCCGCCGCGCTGCCTGCCTTACCCTCCGCCGCAGCCGGGCTGGGAGCGCCGGTCGGCCCCCCGCGGAGGAGGAGGAGGAGGAGAAGGAGGAGGAGGAGGAGCGGGGCAAGGGGCGGCGGCCCCGCGGGGGGAGGCGCCCCCGGAGGGGCGTCGGGCCCGGCCCCCGCGGGTGCCCGGGCGCGGCGGGCACAAAGGCGGCGGGGCACGGCACCTAAGATGGCAGGGCGGGCGCGGCGGAGCGCTCAGCCGCCACCACCACCACCACCACCACGGCCGGGGTCTCTGTGGGGAGGGGGTTTAGTGCGAGGGTCTCTGTGGGGAGAGGGCGTTGCTCTGGTGGGCTCTTGTGAGGAGGGGGCAGCCGGCTGTGAGGGGTTGTGTGAGGAGGAGCCTTTGGTGTGAGGGGCTCTTGGGGAGGGGTCAGTGGTGTGAGGGGAGGGTAACCAGGTGTGAGGGGTTGTGTGAGGAGGGGTTTTGGTGTGGGAGGCGGTTTTAGGGAACAGGTAAGGGGTTGCTGAGGGGGTAGGAGAACAGGAGAGAGTTGGCACGTGGGGGTGCTGAGGGGAGTTTGGGAAAGAGGGTTTGTGGAAGCTCCACGTGGGGACACTGAAGGGTGAGAGGGGCCTGAGGGAGAGGATGGTGGGGGCGGCTGCTGAGGCCATTTGAGCTCAGACAGCATTTTGAGGGGCAGCAGGCCTGAGGGAGAATGAGACAAAAGGTGGTGAGAGGGGCAGAGAGATGAGGGGCTCAGCAAGGGGCTACATGGGGCCTGGACATGGATAGGGAGAAGAGGTGTAGGGGAGAGGCCTGGCATGGGTGGGAACTTTTTGGGGGCAGTGTGGCAGAGGACAGTGGGTTTGGGGCAGGCTGGCTGTGGTGAGGACATGGAGCCAAGTAGAACTGCCTCTCTGGCCAGGAGCAGCTCATCTACAGGCAGTGACAACCCCAGGAGGTGGTGGGTGACTGCTCTAGTGCAGCTGCCCTCACCAAATGGGTGCATTTCAGCCTGCCCTTGGCCAAGCTGTATCTGGGTTGTGGCCAGAAGAGGGGGAAAAAAATCTCATGGGTTGAGCACATGGCCTCCTAAACTGTACTCTTGGCTCTCAGTGGTGGGTGTTGAACTTCGTAAGTTGTTGAGCCTTTGTGTGCCTTGGTATCTCCATCTACGAAGCAGAGATAACAGTTGGCTTCATGCAGGGATTAATTATCGCATCTTGTAGTCACGTATTTGTTTATTTGTTTTTACTATAGATTACAGCTGGAGGAATTCTAAACAGTCCACTTCTCCTTGTCATGGTGTTTGAGCGCATTGTGCTCCTGTCTGAACAGAGGAAATCACTGAGGTCAGTCTCCCTTGTGTTTATCGTTGCTTTCCCTTTCAGAAGTATGGGGGCAAGGAATTATCAAAATAACAATTTGTACTGACATCCTGATAATAAATTAATAGAAACAGTTACATAAGACACAAAGTTTGTCAAAGGTGTGTTTGTAGGGATGGCTTCCATTTTTGACTTCAGAATTACTTTGCAGGCGTACTGCGCTCTATTATAAAGTACCCTGCAAATACTCAGTTTTGAGATGTCCCCAGTATGAAATAATACAACTCTGTGAATCCAGTGTTACTGCTACTGCTGAAATAAAACGGATGAAACAAACTTCCTTCCTATTTTCCACATAATCTAACAGAAAGCTTTGTATCCAGCAGGTGTTGAGGTGATCCTGGATATGGTTTAGGTGAATTTTACATTTACCTTTAGATAATCTGGGATGGGGAGACACCTGAGGAATGTTATTGGCTGTAACAATTGTGGACCACATCTAGAGTTTTGTGAGCTTGTCCCAAAGTGGTCTGATACTTTGCCTTTTCAAATCCCAATAGGAAAAGTGAGACAAACGTGGATCACTTCAAACATATGTTGTTGTGGGTATTGGGAGAGGCAAACTAAAGGTTTATCTGATGATCTCAACCTTGAAGTTGGCAGCTTTGACAGGAAACTTGGTTTCATTCATCTGCCAAAGATATTTGTAGTGTATCATTTGACAAGTTAAAAGGCATTTTTGTAATGACACAAAAATAAAACCATCCGCTTTCTGAAACTACAGTTTCTGTCTTCTGAAATAATATGGGAGGCACGCTTCTGGGGAAATTAAGGGCATGTTTGAAAGGTAAACATTTGTGTTTTCAAATGTTGGAAGAATGGTGTTTAATGTGAATCTGCTCAGCTTGGCCTATTGATATTAATTTGGTTTTGTACTTGTTTTGTCGAATTAGTGGGTATCATTTGCTTTTGGAGATGGGAGAACAAAGTGGAGCAGTAAGAGAGAGTGATCCGCCCACGGGGTCAAAAGGTGGAATTAAGAATCAGGTTCTTCTGAATCTTGATCTTGTACTTCTTCCTGCAGACAAATTGCCTGTAAAGCTCATGAATTATGAGGGCTAGCGAGGTCCATGGAGCTAACCCAGCAAATGCCAGCAGAGAGTCTGGGCCACAGCTCTTAGTGTTACACACGTGAAAGATAATGAGAGGTCTAGGTAAAAATCCTTAGAGTCTCTTAACAGTGGCTGTGGAAAAATGTGAATAATGCTTTGTCTTTAACTATCAAGTATTTTGCTTGAAATGCTAGATCTGCATTTGATATGTATTCAATGACTGCTTCAAAAATATACAGTGTAGTCTGTGAACAGACTGTTTGGAAAAAGTTCACTGAAATTCTGAATGAACAGCCAGTGTGAAAATTATGTTTATTGTTGCCAGCTGAACTAAACAGCACATTTAGCTTTCCTAGTCCATTGCATTAGGCATGTTCTTGCTGCCTTCTCAAAAGACCATAGTAAGCGTCTAGAAAGTTAGTTCAGCTTCATTTGCTAATTTCCTGATGCAAATTTAGTCCACTTAAGAAAAGAACTAAACAGGTTTATATATGTCTGCATCTGGGATTTGCACCAGTCTATCTGTCAGATAGCTATACCCAAAGTTAATTCTGTCTGAAGGAGGTGCCAGAACATCAATAAATAAATATTACAAATTGCCTAGCGGTTCAGCTGACAGGCAGAACTGGTTTCAACATATTGCTCCCAATGTGCTGCTGCAGAGCTGGCCCTGAAGTAGACCCATATGACATTCCAACATGGACAGGACCTTTAAGAGTGTGCACCAGCTCTCCATGATATTGTAGGAGAGGAAGTACAGAACAATACTAAGTCTCACGGAAGCTGTGGCAAGAATTTATTCAAGGCACATTGTAATTACTCAGGCAGGGAGTTTGGCCAGGACATTGGGGTTAACACCCCTGCTCCTGTAGAGGTGTCATAGTTTATTTTTTTTAATGACTTGAAGTGATGAGAAGCTTGGCTTTCTGTCTCAGCAGAATGACACCAGTTCAAGCAGTGTAAACTTCTTACAGCAATATGAAGGTGCTGGTTCAGAACTAACTCAGAGCAGCGATTGGGCCTAGTACAGTAATCATTGCTTTATAAATACTTGCAGTAGATAAGAAAGATAAGAGTGTGATTAGGGCACAGTTTCAGGTGCTGTAATTACAGCCATGCCTTCCTCAGCCTTCAGTCCAAATGCTGCTCGAATCTGGCTGTTTTTAAGCAAACAGTTGTAAGTTTTAGAAGAAATCATCAAACTTGAAGCAGAGAAATTTGGTTATTAATTATATAGCAGCTATGAACAGCAGTTATCAGTGCTTTTTCTTAGAAACTTATCATACAAGCAGAATGTAATTTATCCAGTTTAATTCTTTCATGCCTTTGAGATTTTTAGAAAGTGTTCTTTGTATGTATGATGTACTAATTTAGGAACTAACTTTCAGCCTGTTTTCTCCTTGCAGAGAAGATAAGCACTTATGTGTTTTAGTGAGTGACTAGTTGTGCAATGCACAAGTGAGGAATTGTTTTGATTTTACTGGCACATGAAACCTGCCATCATTCCTATAGTACAGTTTGGGCCATTATTATGGGTTATGAGGTTATACAGGAAAAACATGTTCTAGAGAAAGGCTGGTCAAAATAAACAAGGTAGAGTCTTCCAGATTACAACAATCTGGTTTTGTATCAGTGATGTAAATGCTTGGGTACATCCACTGGGATGAAGATACCATGTCAGGCAGTGTCCCTCTGACAGTTCATGTTGTAAGGACAAAAATGAAGCAATACTGACATTATTACGTAACTGCTTTTGTATTCTATGACAACAGTTATAATACTTCACTCTTCTCTTACCTTTTATTAGATGCTCCTTGCTGTGCACTTATGATTGTTCCATGAGTTGAGTGGTTTTAGCTATTAGGAAATGGGGAAATGGTGGCACAAGAAGTATTTGCCAAGGTCATATGGGAAGTAAATGTCAGAGACATAAACAGAATCTCAGCCTTCTGACTCTGCCCTCTGGGAAACCAGACAAAAGTGGAAAAGTGGCTTGCAGTGTGACTCAACAGCTTTTCCTTCCCCAACCACTGCCATGCTGGGCAATTACAAATAAATGCCAGTAGGTCATTTCCACCTGAGTCAAACAGGTTTCCAAGGGACTCTAGGTATCATGTCTTCTGCTAGTGAGGGCTCTTCGATGGGTCCTTGCAATAAATTTCCTTTGAAATCTTTTCAGAATTTTGGAACTAACTGGCTTTTTAGGCCGTGACAGCTGAGTATAAGGAGAGTCTGTTCAAGTATCTCAGATTTTTTCCCAACAGCAGGGCTGAAGGGGGTTTTACTCTGGCATTGGTTCAGAATACCTGCAGTGGGTACAAGGACCAGTATTATGAAGTCCTTGATCTTGAAGAGTGACTGATGGAAAGAAACAGCACAGGAAAGGCCTTGGCTCTGGCCCTTAGATGGATGGGTAAGAAGAGGCCTTTGGCAGAGAAGGGAGAAAGGTGACTAATAATGTGAAACTGGGAGGAAACTTAGTTATGCAATCTGCTGGCTTGCTTTTTCTGAGGGAAGATACCTTTTGTTAGTTGTTCCACTGGCACTTGCTGCTCATGCTGTCTTCTGAATAGAAATCTAAACCAATTATTTCTCTGCTTGACTTAGGAAGCTTATTTTAGCTTCAGAGCAATGAAAATACAGCAGCATTTAATTTCTTTGTTCTCCATCTGCAGGATTTCTTTTAGATTTACGTTGTCTCTTCCCTTTATTATTGTTTCTTTTTCCTGGCTGTCCAGTAGTTTAGCCAAGATGAAGAAACTTTTTTCTGCTATCATGCACTTATTCCCCATATCTCACTTGTTCCATGGTTTTCTGTGTCCTTTTTGCCACATTTCCAAAACTTCCATGGAGAATTTTGCCGTGGTGGTTCAAGAAGTTGCTGTTATCTGATCTAATCCTTCTCCACAGGTTTTCCCTCATAGCTGAGTCAGGGTTCTGTGCCTGACCCTGCTGGGTTAGTGTTGTCTATCTCAGCTCAGACCCCAGCCTGACAGTGCTGTGACTGCCCTGGCCTTTGTCCTAGACTGGCTGGTGTAGGGATGTGTATTGACGCCAGCTGACCGTGGTACAGGGATGTAGCCTCTGGAAGAGTGTGCTGGAGAGGATGACTGGAAGTGCTGGACAACAGCTGGGGAACTCTTCTGAGAACTCCTAGATTCCATATTAGCATGGTGGCTTTTCCAGTGATCTGCAATGAACAGTTCTGCTGTTGACCCTGTCTGGATCTTGATCTCTTGTTTCATAGATTTTATAGGTAAAACAACATTTTACATTGTTGTAAACTTGCTTCCAGGCACTGATTCTTAAAATCTGTAAACCGGTTGTGAAACTGTGGCCTTCCTCTTCAGCAATTCTGCAGTCACCTATCTCTGAGACATTGTATTTCACCCTTGAATAAGATTCCGGACCAAAAAAAGAGTTAGACTGCATACAGATTAACAAATGTGTTGCTAGTATCTCTGGCTACTGCAGCATGACTCACCCATCAGTGCTTGTCAGAGTCTGGCGTGACCTCATTGAAAGCTTCAACATCTCTTATGTGAAGGCAGGTTGTAATCCACTGTGGGAATCCTAAATAGGTGGGGAATGAAGTTCTGAGATTGTGATAATGCATACATCATAAACATCTCCCTGGAAATCAATTATGCCCTCACCAGGAATACTCTTAAAGATTTCTGAGGATCTCTTGGTGCTAAGCCTGCCTTTCCCTGCTTTTATTAAAAAAACCACCTGTACTATCCAACACAGTAACAGAAATCAATGCTGGTGGCAAAATTTAAGAGTGAATGGGATGTCAGGGAGGAGATGCTCTGTTATTTGCAAGGACAAGAAAGCTGATGGTTCCTTTTTATTTATCACAGCATCTACAGACTTTTCTTTATTTTTTTTCCTATGTCAGTAATGGGGCTTCTGGTACACAGATATCTGCTGGTACTCAAACTGAAAGTGAAATCCCTGGCTGTTGGTCTGGTTGCTGTCCTTAGGACACGTGAATGTCTGCTCCTGTTTTGCTGTAGGTTATTTCTGTATGGGCAGAGTTGTCTGTGCCAGCCTGGAAGCTTTGTCCATAAGCAGCAACAGTTACTGTCTCTTGGTTTCTCAAAGCTGCAGCTCCTCTCTGGTTCCACACACCTGCTTTGTCACAGAGTGTCAGTAACTTTGCAGAAGTCACTGCATCCTCTGCTGTGCTTGGGATCAACTCTGGCATCTGTCTGAATGTATGTACGTCCCTACTGCAGATCTGCTTTTCCTATCCAGACTCTTATCTGGTGAGTTTGTTCTCTTACCCTTTGCCTTAGGTAGATGGTAGTATGACTTCTGTATTTCTTAACAGTTTTTTATCTTGAGTCTGGGAACATGGATTGTTATTATTGTGGGATAGGGGAAGAGGGCAAAAATCCTGAGATATGTTACATTCTGGTCCTTCTTTAAAGAAGGTGTAGCAGGTCACAGAATCAATGCATGCATATAATTTGTAAGGAAAAAATAGGCGACCTTAGGCCTTTTTATCCATGATTCTTTAGCACAGAGATCAGACAGGTGCTATATCTCCTTAGCTGTTTGGTAAATCCATGGGGAAATAAGTTGATTGGTCTGACCAGTTTCTAGTACTAAGCACTGTGCATTGTGCACACAAAATAGATCTAGTTCTAAAAAATAATGTCTGATGTTCTTTGTGCAGAGACCAAGGCCTGGATGATGTTTGGAGACTAGGCATACCTTTACTGGACGATCTGATGGATGTACACCATGATGTTCTAGGGCATAAGAAATGGAAGCCCCATAAAAGTGTTGTCCATGCTGCATGCAGCTGTGGGGATGTTTGCTTAAATGATTGATCTTGTATTTGAAGTCCTATTGCTTGATTTATATATTGATTTTTAGTATCTTGACAGACCTTCCTCTTACACAGTAAAGCATACCTGGGGTTCTAGTAGAATTCTGCTCTTAGGTCAAGCTCAAACCTCATTGCTCCTCCCTGCCTTCAGCTGGAAATGGACAGACACCATTTGTGACTGAATATCCTGAGTCACCGATTCCCAGCTGGCATGTGCACTGCAGTTCCGTCTCTTCCTTTCCGACTGCACTCCCTAGAGGAGATTGGGAACAACTGCAGTCGTCAGCTCCAGCGTGGTGTGTGCACTTGCCGGGATCCACACAATTGGTGGACAACCCCTGTCTACGTCTATGGGGTGAGCTGCATGTGATTTGTTACTGTATGCCTGGTGTTTCCACACCGGAAGATAGAACAGGTGTAGGAATATTTAAAAAAAAAATTCAGTTTCTTCATATTTACTATAAAAATATGTGCATTGTGGAGATGGTGATAGGATATCTCCATTAAATAATCAGTTGAGACAAGTGATGATACCAGTAATGCTATTTCACAATAAGATTGTGTGATAATGGATGAAAACTAAGAAGCTAGAGAGATGCTGAAAGGTGAAGTAGTTACTCCCTACACTAGCAAAATTCTGCTACCAGGAGCATGGGTCCACCATGCAGGAGCTGATAGATTATCTGTTGTGTCAGACACTTTTGTGCTGTGTTTGTTATCCTACTTGTGCAGTGTCCCAAAGAAAGGCTGCTTAAGCTCAACAGGGGAATTATGCAACATGTTGCTATGTTATTTCATCTGACCAAAACATTTTCACTGTGTATATAATGCTTGCTGCTAGTCTTGTGCATAGCTCTGGGAGAAGCTGAAGCACAAAACACTTCATTGACCTTTTTGATCCAACAGGTCTTGACATATTGCTGCTGGACACATCTCTGTGTCTGATGTGAACTGTGACAGTTCCATTCTGTCCTGCTAAAATAACAGTATATTAAACAATACTATTCTGTCCATGCCATTTCCACCTATTGACTAAAAAGTTAAATTCTTATTAAGCTAGTTCTAATTTACATGTCATAAGCTATTAGTTAATGGTCAGCTGATTTTCCTGGCATGAAGACTGCAAAGTGTATAACACAGATTAGTGCTTGTGTGGGACCAAATGAGTTAAACCAGCTCATTCTGCTGAAATACCCAGTGAAATACAGCGATGGTCTGCATATCAAATCTGTTTGCAACAGGTCACCAGTGTTTGCCTGGGACAGTTCATCCTGTTAGCAGGCACTGATCCGGCTATGGAAGAGATATGTGGCTTGTGCTGACTCATGAAAGCAGGTGCAAGTTGCATCAGAGAAGTAAGGAGTGGCTCACCTTAGAAGCAGGATGCAGGTTTTAGTGTAAGAACTGTTAACACACCACCTTTAGAAGAAAGTTGGGGGGGAAAAATACAGGAGAGACACTTTGAAATTAACTTGGTAAATTGTTTTTCTTCTTGCTGCATCAGGGTCTTGTTCCAAATGAGGAAGGTGGAATTATTAACACCACTGAGGTGTCTTGGGAAAACATGAACTGTAGCTGCAGACAGCAGTAGTCCTAAGGCACGTTTTCTGGGGAGGGTTGGATGACAGCTGTTCATAAACTTTCATATAGTTACTCTCTTGTTCCTTCTTTATAGATCTGACTCATCTCTCCCTGTCCTAAACACACCAGTTTGTTTGGGTTTTTTTTCCTCTTCTCTCATTTACCTCATATCTCATATCCTTCAAGATTCCTTTTGTATCTCTGGGCTTAATTCTATTAAATCCAGTTCCTTTGACTTTTACTTTCCTGTGCTTTGCACTTGCTGTAGAGCCCAACAAACTTGGCAGCCAATCCTTGGGCACTCCAGAGAAAACAACTGTCTAGACCAGGCACCTTCTGCCCGATGCCCTGGACGTACCCCAGAGCTCCCAGGCATTACTCTGTATTCAGAACAACATGTTGCTATGCAAATGATTCCTTTCTGTTCTTCCTCTTACCTACACAGTTATGTGCCCCCAACTTCTCAGCAGGCACTAGTCTAATGTTTATTGATCTTTTACAGAGGTCTGATTCAAAGGAAGATTGATAAAATCTTGTCCAGTGTTTTTGTGAACTCATAATTGCACCTGCCTCCTCCTAGAGAAAGAGGCAAATGGGACTGAGGGAGCCCACAGAATAAATAGTACCTTCTGCAGAACTGGAGATAGTGCAAGCTGTAGGCCATCACTGCAAAGGTCTTGCAGAGCCTGTGGTATCCAGCAGAATTCAGGGAGGTGTGTTACCCTTTCCTAAAAGGAATGGAAGTCAAATCTTGGTCTAAAGACTCCTATGGCATGGGAAGGGCACAGAAGCTTTAATGCAAAGTTGCAAGCTGTGCCTGTTCCCAGTTAAAGCCCCTGTTGCCCTAGGCAATCATTGAGCCTGTCAGCGTCCTGCAGCTTTCATACAGAGATGTGACCAAAATAGCTCCACAACTTTACAATGTGGCTAAAAATAGCTTGCAGGTCAGCTTTTTTCTCAAAGGTGGTAGTGACATCAGAGGGAGAGCACTCTTGCTCCTGTTCAGTGCAGGTAGAACTGGATAAACAAAGTGGGGACAGCAGCAGTTTAGCTGAAAAGCCTTGAGGAAAGAGAGGTGATAAGGGATGGGAAAGGACTGGGAGAGATGGGCTAAAGTGTCAAAAGCGTGGGTGGACCCACTGCTGCTGGCCAAGTTAGTGTGCTCATACCCAACTTCTCCCTGGGGTTTTGTTTCCATGATGTTTGAGAGTTATCAGTCTGTTCCTGTCTCCTTGTGGCCCATGTCAGGATGTGTCACTGGATGGGCTGGCCAGCCAATGCAGCATTTCTTGCTCCTCATTTCCAGACAGTGAACACAGCCCATGACATCACCTCTGGCCAGCGGCAGATCAGAGGCTAGGCCATGGCAATGTCAAGTGTGTTTTGCTGTGGCCATTCAACCAGAGAGCTGATCTTTTACAGTGCAATTTGCATGTGGAGAAATCTGGATGACCCTTAGTTCTAGGGGGATTTCAGTATTTGTTCTTGGGCCAAAAATAGGCTGTTTTTATGGGGTCAAACTGTCTGTTTTTGTAGAGCATTACATTTTACCAAAGGAGCAAAGCTGCACACCATGATCCTCAGAGTTTTAGTCTCTGTTGTGTATACTAAGTCTGGCCATGGAGATGATTGTCAGCCAAGTCTGTAAGTGCCTGATTTGGAACGTTATGGGAATCTAATGTAGGTTATGTGAGGTTTGCCATGCCTGCAGCTCCTGTGCTGCTGAGGTAAGTGTACTGCAGCAGGCTGTGCTACTGAGAATTTCCTTTGTGCTGCAGGTTTCATGCCTGGTGCTTTCATAGTGCTGAAAGAAGGGAAGGAGACAACAAAAATGTGAAAAATCGAGGGCAGGTCATTACTGTCAGATGAGGACAGAGTCCTGTAGCCAGTCAGATGTGACAGAATGCACTTGCTGATGCTGCTACCAGGAAGCTTGAGAAATGTGACTGATAGCAGTGCGCATGTGCCTTTGGAGGAAGGAGGCTATGTGTGTGCTCTTGCAATGCTTTTCTCTGCCCAGCAACATCATTGCTTCTTTTCCTTGTGTTCTGCTTAAGCAGCTGTTCTGCATTTATGACCCAATCTATTCTTCATACAGGGCCATCTTCACACTGAGCCACCTTCACTGTCACTATCAGAAGGACTGATAAGACCTCAGGTTTGCTTTGAGTAAGCACTATAAATAGGGCAAAAGCATTATAGTTACTGTTCTCTTAAACTAGTGTGGGTCTTATAAGACCAGCCTCTGTCCCTACCTATTTAAAATGGCTCCTGTTGCCTCACAAGAGGGAGACTTCAGCCAAATACATCTCCATATTGACAAGTATAGAGAGAATTATGCGCATGATCAGCTTGCAAGTATTTCATTTGATGTGCAGCTGGAAGTCCGCTGCCAATAGAAAAGGGAGCTCTGCAACCCTACTTGTGTGCTTCTAGTGCATTTAGATGCTACAGGCCACATTAATTGTAGACTGCAGTTAGACCAGGTTATAGGCCAAATCGACTCAATACCATCATCATGACCAGTTAGTACAGTCATTTCTGAGCACTGCAATTTCTCACCACAGCCTGCTCCTTCCCTTCAGTGAGAGCTGTTCCTTGGTCTGCCCTGCCCAGCTTGTAAATGTATCTCATCAGTCTCTGTTTCTTTGCAAATGAGCTGCGTAGGTAATGGGAGGAGGAGGAGGAGGCAGCAGCACTGCAACCTGCCCATCCCCAGCTGGTCATTAAGGCTCCGTGCTCCTTAGGCTTTCTGAAGTTATTTTCCCCATGAATTGTGCAGGTATAAAACTTTGTTGATTCCTTAAATGCCCTGCCTTTTGCAACAGGTCATTTCCCAGGGGGGAAAACAGGCTGTTGGTGTGGTAGGCACTCAGCTTGTCCTTTGGATAAGATCCAGAGGCGATTAGTTTGGGCGCAGCAGTGTGCTAACACAGGCAGAATGCACCCAGACTGGCTCCTGTCGAGATAGCCCCAATCTCTCCACTGTCCCCACCTCTGTCCACGGCCCCTGGCTCAGTGTGAACACCGGTCCCTGTCCCTCTCCCTGCCTGTGCTGGCATGCCCACAGGGAAGCAGAATTTGCACCCCATGCTGCTTGCCCGTGTCCTGATCAATACCAACCCTCCCAAAGCAAACAGTGATTTGCCTGTCTGCTCTGACTCAGCTGTGCTGAAGGCAGGAATCGGTAATAAATCCGGTTCAGTAAAGTCCATAGGTAAGGAACAGCCTTCTGTAGCAGATACTGAGGCATTTTAAAGGAACTTGACTCTGTCCCAGGAAGTGCACTGAAGTGAGCAATGCTGCATTGGGCAAGAAAGTCTACCCAGGAGCCATTAATCTCTCAACATCTCTAGCCCTGTGGTTGTATGCACTGGGGGTTGTCTTCCCCTGCCTGCAGTTACTGGCTAAGAACTGGGAATTCAAAGGAATCTGGGCTATGTTTAGGAAGCAAGTACCTACTCTTTGCCTCCTCTCAGGAAACAAGGTCCTTCATTACAGCCTGTCATGGCAAGGGGCTTGCAGATAAGGAGGAAGGGCAGGAAACATGCTGGGCTTTGCTTCTTTACAGCTCTAAATATTTTCCATAATCTTAGCACTGTGAGTCAGCATTTCTAGAGCCTTGACTTGTTTACAGCAGCAATCAGTGAGATGGTATAAGGTAGGTGGGGTGTGGAGGTATGTTTGTGTCTAAAATGAGAAACCCTTTGCCCAGGCACAAGTGGAGAAGTTACCAACTGTATTTTCCATTTGTGACTAACAGGAAGCAAGGGACTGGATACCCTAAACAGTAACTGCAGTGGAGCCATTTCCAGGGTAAGGAGTTTCCTAGTGTGAGTAAGGGAATTGAACTTCACAAAGCTGTAAACATTGTGTTGTCATAGTTCACTTTTTATATATATATATTGCAAATACTTAGGATTATCAGTATAGTGGGATAAAGGTAACACTTCCCATCTGAAGTGGTATGGATTCATTTTGCATTGGCCTGGCCAGACAGGCTGTGGGGCAGAAAGACCCCCAGAAGTGTACAGGTAACATCAACCACTGAAGTTTTCATTCAGAGCCCATACCTACACTGGAATAAGGAACATCAGCCATGGGATATCTTTTGTCACCACATGCAAGCTTTTTCCCTATGCCTGACTGGTCAGCCTGGCTGGATCTCATGGTAAAGGGAGTTGACATCAAAACCAAGATATTTTAGATCTGCAACCTCAGTTCTGCAAAGGTGTTTATTTTGAAAATTCTAGTTTCCATAGCGATGTAGTACTGTTCTCTCTCATCTTTCTCCCATTAACCCAATCTTAGCAGCCATTAGATAAATTATCAGTGAGGCAAACCTTAGCATTTTTTAATCTTAAGTGATTTTATATGTGTTGGTTCCTTAGTGAATCAGAGGCATTTAGTTAAGAATTGACTCATATCCTTTCCTGGGGCTGACATGAGGTCTATTGCAGTGAAAAGATGATAATGAAGAGTGAATATTATTAATTGGACTTGAATGAATTAGTAGTGGGGGGGGTCTTACGTCTAGAATTCTGGTTCAGTTATATGTCATTAGATTTTACTTGGGTTCCACTATAGCATCATTAGGACATCATATTTTCATTTCATACATGTATTAAGTAAGCCCTTTTGTAAGGGTTGCTGTGCAGTGCTATTCCACTGCTTTTCTCCCCCCCAGAGGTGACTTTTGGACACAGTTCCCCTTCCCGTTGTTAACAGAGCCAGTGCTTGTGGCTCATTTCTTCATTCTTCTTTTCAATACCTACAAAAACATACAATTAAGAAAATAAGGCAATATCTTTTTTTATTGGTGTGTTTTGTTTGTTTCTTGGTTGTTGTTTTATTTTGTTTCCTGGTGCATTTGGCCTTTCCTGGTCAAGGAACTACTAGTTTTGCCAGAATAGTTATGCAGGTTGGAATGTAAAAATCCCAGACTTAACCCTGCAGCAGTAATGGCATGCAAAAAACAAAGATGTGGAGATTATTTATTCTGATGGTGTAGCTTGCCTTTTAAGGAGATGATTTAGTGAGTTCTTTTGCCTATATGAACTGTATCTCTACCTGGGGAGCTCTGCCAGAATAGCTGTTCCATAAACCCTTTGCTGTGAACAACAGCCTTTGTCCTGGAATTCAGTCCTCATGAGTAGGTAAGCAGTGAGGTACAGAAACTGTGTGGGAGAACGAGAGTGGCACTGTGGACCAGATTCCAAGATAAGGAAGTAGGGCTAAATACAGGCAAGGGTTAGCCTTTGACTCCTGCAGTGTCCTCACTTAGTAACAAAAATACCTGAATTGTGTAAAATAGAACACAGATCCAGTAAGTTGAGGATGCAGGAACTCCTCTGTGGAATCTGGATGTTAGCAGGCATCTGCTGCTCAGTGCCCATTGCTTGCCCTGCCAGTCAGTCTGTTTTCCTCCCCAGCTAGAGCCATCAGCTGTCTCGTTTGTATTCAGTCCATGAGTTCTTCAGAGGAGATGGGTTTTCAAAAGTCAGTTCTTCACCCTGCTTCTATTTGAGCTCCCCAGGCCTTGGATATCTGGCAGAAATAGCCTCTTAAATCCCAAGAGGTATAAGCTCACTTGTGCTCCAAAGAATAGTAATTCTAACAAAATCTCTATTTTTGATGTCAAATATTTACTTTTAGCTGAATTATGCCCATCCATTGAGAAAACTAATAATACTTTGCTCTTCACAATATAGCTTATCAGTGAATCCTGATATATATTTTATGCAAAACATTAAAAGGTGGTTGCTTATCTTTTCATTTACCTTTTTTTTCCCCTTCATGTTCCTGCATTCCTATGTTTTGAGATAAGGTGAACAAAAGTTCTCCAACTGCTATCTCTAAGCTATGCATTCTGCAATACCTTCACTCCCTCCAAGGTGAATGGTCCCAAGTCTTCTTAAATTTCCTTCAGACAAGGGCTCTTCCAAATCCCTAATCTTGTAGTCAACCATCATTGCCCTGTGTCACATAATGAAGTCACAGTAATAACTCAAACAATAACCCCTCCAGATCTGGTGTTCTGTCAGTGCTGGGCATTGTTAAGTTGGAGATCCTGACTGCAAACACAAGCAGAGGAGTCCCCATGTGCCAAATGCAGACATACCCAACCCACATTTAAAAACTAATAATTTTTTTTTTTTTTAATTTCATGTTTCAAAATAACTGCTTGGTATCCAAATGAAATGAGAATGAAATGTGACTAGCAGCCTTGTGACTGTTGTGTTGTATAACAAGATAAAAAGTACTTGGGATTTGTGGATTGAGCTTTTTTTTTCATTTGTCTTCCAGAGGTCAAAGTCCACTGCAAGCAGTGACTGATACAATTCCCTGTGTAAGTCAGGCTGGGCTGCCTGTGCCTCAGGTTCTAACAGCAGGGGAGTTTGTGCAAGAGCACCTTGGTAGGTGTTTGTCTGGATTTCTCTGTGGTCCCTGTGATGATCCTAGGAAGCAGGAGGAGATCCAGAATTGTCTGAAAGCCAGGATTCTTTGAAGTCCCAGAGAAGTAATGATGAGAGTTGTGGCTGAGGCCAACCTGCTAGCCTGCTTCCCGTTCTGCTTCTTGTAGGTGTCCAAGAAGCTGCCTCCAGTTTATACAATTGCACTCTAGTAAACAATTTTGCATGCAGATATGGGCAGCAGATGTTATTCATGCCTGTGTGAACACTTCAGTGTTTTTCCAACAGGGATGATCCTCAGATTGAGTCCTGTTAAACAATGGATGTACCCACCAGAAGTCCCACTGGTGACAGCCATTCTGTTAGAGTTTGCACAAAACGCTTTGAAGGATGGTCACGCCATCCTTCTTTGGCCACTCAAGGGGATTGACTCACAAATATGAGCAAAATAAAATTAGATGGCTTAAGTGGCTGCAACCCCAGCTGTGTCCCCACTGCCCAATTCCCAGAAGCTCATCCCTGCAGCCAGCCTGGCTGTGGAAGGCAACTCCTGAGCTGCTGTAGTGCCAGCCCATTCTTCAGGGTGTTAATATTTGTCTGGCTCCTCTGTGAAACAGTTTAGGAAGCTTAACCAGAATAAAAATGTGCACTTTTCCATCTGAAGAATTATTTTTTAGTTTAATTTCTCAAATGGGCTCTGAGAAGCAGAAGCGTTGCTGTGAGGGCAGGGCAGAGAGAGATGACCTTCCCTTTTGGGAGCAGCCATTACGTCAGTTTTGCTGCCTCACAAAACTATACCCTGTGGTTATTTTTGGTGCTGGACTGCCTTAATTTTCTGGAGAGTGAATGAAGGATTAGCATAGTGTGCTTATGACATTTGGAAACTAAGCTCTCAGAAGAAAAAATCATAATTTAGCATGTGCTGAGGTGGAAATGCTTAAATTGCTAGGGATGGAAAGATGGGTAAAACATGAATTTTTTACAATTATTATGATTCAGCTAGGGGGTTAAATACTTTTTAAATTTTTTTTTGGTTTTGCTGCTTTTTAAGACCTCTAACCCAATGCCTACTATGCAGCTGCCTCTAGAGAGGGAAGTCTTTAAAGAGACCAGCTTTGTACCTATAAATAATGTACACAGCAGAGTACAAAAATGGAGTCAAGGAGAAGCTCCTCCTTACCTGAATGTAACTGCAGCAGCTGCATGAGAATAGCTGTGGTCAGGCTGTGAGCAGCACTCATACCCTGTCATCCATCTTGACTAAACTGCTTCTGAGAACTAATTCTGAGATTCCAACACCTGAATATCAACTGGTAAATCCCAACTGCCTTGTACTGAAACACATTAGATGCCAGCAGCCAAACGTGGCAAGGTTTTGAACAGTGTGGTTATAATCCCATTTGGAACTAAAGGTCTGCTGGAGTGCTTTGTTAAGTGTTGGAATATGGAGAATTTCTCAAGTCCGAACCTCTGCTATAAATGAAAACACTGTGGCAAAAAAATGTAAATAAATGCCACACATATTTTGTGTAAGAGCCCTTCCCAATATCTATAAATATGGTAATTTTGGTGTTTCCCGGTTTTGAGTTTTAAACAGGAGACAGACACATGAAATATCACAATGGAAGCATTTTATTTTTTTCATGGATTAATTTTATAATTTCACTTTTATTTTACCTGAAAACAATTAATGGAAACTAAATGTAGTGTTTTAAAGAGGATTGCCTTTGAAAGGAAATAATTTGTTCTTGAAAAAATAACTTCAATAGCTTCTCAGTTTAACTGCATTTTAATATGAACACAAAACTCATCCCGGGTCAGACTCTCCAGGAAAACTTTCTCATTATTCCTGTAGCAGTTGATTCATTCCATGCTGCCTTAATTTTGCAGCTTTAAAGGGCAGGTTCTCTGCAAAGCCATCCACTTCAAAGCTTCATAAAACAGAGCTTTGAATAAATTACTGAGTTAGAAATTATATTGGCTGTGCCCAGCTTTGTGCCTGGATGTGGGAATACTTGGCACTGGGTGTGGAATTCCAAGGAAAATTGCCTCTTTGCTGGCTTGCCAAAGAGCAGTAAGAAGGAAAACTGCTGCAGATGAGCAGACACGGAAATCTCCAGCTTCCCCTTCCAGAGAACACATCCTGAAGAACTGTTGAATATTAATACACATTATAACTGGTGCAACACTGGGCAAACCCTGGCACTAACAGAAACTCCTGCTTCTGGAGGGGACGTGTCCCAGCGTGGCCACGGGGCAGCACTGCCTGCTGGAACTACTCTTACCTTTAAAATGCATCCCTGAGGATGCAACGTGGAATCCGTGGGAGTGGGGAAGGCCCACTGTGTGCGGACACACCATGTTGGGGTGTGGGATGCCCATGCTTCATGAAGCCCAGGCTGTGTTATTTTGGATTTTTTTTTCTCTCTTTTGCAAGCTTTAGATAATATAATACTAATTATAGCAGTGACATAGTTGATTTGTCTTTCACAAAGAGACAGCCCACCTTCCTCTGTATTCAGACTTCAGCTGTGTGTGTGTGGAGACGATTTGTCTATAATTGTTTGCTTTCTTCAGAGTCTTTTGAAGTTTAAATCTTCAAGCCAGCTCCTTATATTAAAAATAAATTCTTCCAAGCCACCAATAAAATGTCAGCTGTGATTAAAGCCCGACTCCTCATTTTAAGACTTGTCTCCTAAGCACTGTGAGGTCACTCAATGAGTCAGCCTTTGAAAGGACCAGGACCGTTATTGTTTGGGTAAAGCCCAAAGTTCATCATTGCTTGCTTAAATGGTTTCATCACGTTCTAAATGGCTTTGCATTGTGCTGAAAGAAGTGTAAACTGCAGGAATGATTTGGCAGAGAACTTGTGATATTTCAGGCACCTCAAATCTTGAAAAAACCCTCTGTATTAATGTTGAAGTTGGTATTTCTGGTAAGGAAAAGCTTTACCTCCTGTGTAGTAAAGAGGAGGGTGAAGTGGGAAGCTCTGTCTGAGGCATAAACTTTCAACTGTGTTCTCTTAAAATAAAGCTTGGGAACTGTAACTCCAGACAAGGGTCCTTGTACAGTGCCAAAGTCTGATAGGTCTTCTCTAGACACATGAACTTCATTAATTTTGTTCATTAAAATAGTGAAAAAATAGAACAGAGCATTAAGCTGCAAGGAAGAGCCTTGAGAAGCAAGTCCATACTATTTTCAGGACTGTCTGTGGAGCCCGTTTATATTACACACATTAATTGTAACAGTCTTTAATTACATGAACACATTTTATTTTGTCACTTTTCCTCCCTGTTTGCTGCCGTGCACACTGTTGGGACTATTTGGAGGCAATTAATCACACCAGAGCAGCAAATAACTTGGAGCAGGACTTTGCCTCTGTCTCCAGCCTGTGTCAGTCGTGGGTCTCCCCATTCTCTCTGCCCTTTTCCTATATTCCTAATTAACTCCTGCCTCAGTTCCTCACTGATCCGTACAGCCCAAAACCCCTTGTCTCAGTGCTGTCTGGAGAATTGGGCCTTGGTTTTGAGGAGGAATCCCGAAACAGCAGTTGAATGTCTTGCCCTCCTGCAGTGGAGGCTGGCTGGAGCAGAGGCAGGAGTTCAGGTCATTTAGCTGCCACCACCCCCGGTGGAACACGCTCAAGTGGGGATAATCAGAGATTGAAATGGTATGAAATCTGTTGCAGATTCTGTCAAGTTTCAAGAGTTCTCCTCCTTATACTCTCAGGCTTTCCCATCAACCTTTGATTTTTGTTAAGCATCAGTTAAATCTCCGGTGCTTCTCTCGGAGCTGGACAGGTGCATTTGTTGAGTCCCCCTTTCGCGGGCCGGCTGGGTGCTGAGCACGCCCGCTGGCGGGTCCGTGCGGGGAGCGGCGGGTGGAGCCCTGGAGCCGGGTGAGCTCCGGCTGCCGCGGGAGCGCTGCAGCTCGGCCCGGCAGCGATTCGGGGCGCTGCTGCTGCTGCTGGGAGCCCGGCCGCTCACCGCGTTCACATCCCTGCCCACATCCCCTCCGCTGGGGCTGTTCCAACCCTCTCCGCCTGCCCCGGGGCGCGGTTCACCCGCTTCATGACGGCAAAACGCGGCTTTGCGGCATCCCGGGCAGCCCTCCTCCCGGTGACCCTGCGGTGAAACCCCCCCGGGGCCGCACGCCGCTCCCCGCCGGTTATGGAACGCTCCAACGGCGAGGGCCGGGGACGGAGGCGGCTCCGCCGCGGCCGCTCATTCCGGCTCTGCCGCGCTAGCACGGGGAGGGGGCGAAGCGCGCCCGTCCCTGGCAGCCTCACCTGCCGCTGGCCCGGGGAGGGGGCGGCCGGGCGGGTCCGCGCTGGCCGGGCCGGCTCTCCCCCGGCCGCGGTGCGGCGGGGCGGGGCGGGGGNNNCGGCGGCGCCGCTCGCTGATTGCAGGGCGGGCGCTGCCAGTCCGCCGCCTCCCCCGCGCCAGCCGCGTCCCCGCGCCGGAGCCGCACGGCCCAGCAGCGAGCGCCCAGCCCGGCCCGGCCCCGCCAGCCGCCCCCCATGGAGGAGCAGCCCCACCACCACCATCACCACCACCACTATTACTACTACGGGCACCACCACCACCACCCGCAGAGCGCCTACCTGCCGCCGCCCGACGGCCGAGCCCAGCCTAAGCCGCCGCTCCGCCACGAGCACAAGCACGGCGGCCCGCAGCACACGGAGGCGCCGAAGCGGAGACCAGGTTGGAGCGGGCAGCGGGACGGGGCCCGTGACCTTCGCGGGGCGGCGGCGGGGCCCCCCTCTCTTCCTCCTCCTCCTCCTCCGCCGCCGCCTCCCCCGGCCCGGCTCGAAGCTTCTCCGCCGCGCTGGGGCCGCTTCCTGTCCGCCATGTTGGGGCTGCGGGAGCCGCGGGCCCGCCGGCACCGCCGCCCGC